GCACCAGGGCAGCCGCCAGCTCCTGGCACACCCGGCTCACCAGGCTGTGGATCCGGCCGGAGCTCGGCAAATGCTCAGGGTCTGGCCACAGGCTGTGGGCATCTGCACCGGGCAGAGTCACGGCCACAGTGGCCAAGTGGCTGTAGACCCGGGGCAGGAGATCGAGCAGCAGAAGAGCATTCCAGCGGGCATCTTCCTCACCCTTCTCGCCCTCCTGGGGCCAGCGCAGGTGGCGGCGATCATCAGAGAGGGAGAAGGGAGCGCTGGCGTGGACGGGCAGCCCTGTGGCCGTCTCATCGGTGGCTGGCAGTGGCAGGAAGCAGCAGAGCCGCCCTTGGCAGGCCCCATGGAGGGGGTGTGCCAGGCTCAGCTCAGGGCAGCACCCCAGCCCTGTGCCCAGAGCCACGGCTGGCCCCTCAGTGGCCCTGCCTGTGGCCACCAGCCACTTGCTCCCAGCACCTACCCCATCCCCGTGAAAGGCCACCAGGCACCACACCAGACTCAGCCCCTCATCCCCAGATGGCACCGGGACAGGCAGAGGCTGAGGGGATGCCTCGAGTGTTCCCATGAGTGTCTGGACCCCATCAGGATCCACACGGTGCAGGACCACACGGCGGACATGGCGGAGGAAGAGGAGGGCAAGAGGGGCCTCTGTGAGGAAGGTCTGCATGAGGTTGCAGATGCGCTCAGGATCAGAGACCCCTGCAGCAATTTCCGAGGGTTGCCGGCGAAGGGGGAAGCGGAAGAGGGTGCCTTGGGCTGAGGTACGGTGTTGTCCCACAGCTTCCAGCCCAGCCCAGAAGGGCTTGAAAAGGCCAGGAAGGTCCTGGGCTTCAGTGATGTCCCAGCGCTTGCCACCACCAGGTAGCACCTTGAATTCGGGGTCCAGCACCCCCAAGTATGGGGGGCTCAACACACCTGGCAGGTCTGGAGACATGGGAACCATGAGGCCACAGATATGACATGGACACCACTGCCTTCCTGGATCATCCCAATCCATCAGTGCCCCAAATGCCCACCCAATGGCCTCAAGTTTATCCCCACAGTGCCTCCCATGATCTAAAGCTTAATCCCAATTCACCAGTCCTCCCTCAGTTTGTCCCCCTAGCCCTGCCCTCCATTGCCAGCCAGCCTCCCCCCCAGCCTCCTGATGCTTCAGGCTTCTTCACTTTGGACACAGCCCTCCATTTTACACTCCCCCAATGCCCCCCACCCCAGTTCTCCCCAGCACCTGCAGTTCAGTGCCTCCAGTAAAACCCACATCCCCAGTTCAGTCCCAGCTGAGGCTCCCAGTGCCACTCACCCGTGAGGTGGTAGACAGAGGTGAAGCCCAAGCCGAAGCGCCCCACGGTGCGGGGATCCTCCCGCTTGTGTGACACCCCTGGGCGCTGAATCCCTGTCCAGTCCCGGGGTGACATCACAGCATCGTTGTAGGCCAGGAGAGCTGGGCCTGGTGGTCAGCACCATCCATGGGTTGGGGGAAATTGGGACATGGAGAGGGAATTGTCATTTACACTCAGTGTTCCCACAAGCTCCAGTCCCACAAAACACCCCTCAGTGTACCCCTCACCCTCCCAGTACCCTCAGTGCCTCCAGCACATCCCAGAACCCCTCACCAGTTCCAGTTCCCCCAATCCCTCCCAGCACCAGCCAGTGCCACCCCAGCGCTTCATCTGGTTTCTCACTGCGCCTGCAGTGCCTCTCACCCTGGGTGCCCTCCAGTCCCCCTCCGGTGATGTCAAATTCTCGCTCGTCAGATACAAACACAACCTCATGAGCACCGGCATCATCTGCATTCTGCACCAGCTCCTGGAATTAGGGACCAGTGCCTGGTCACCTGGGCCCCCAGGCCCTGAGAAGAGCATTGACCTTCTCTCCCAGTGGGGCACCGAGGTCCTGGGGCTGGTGCTGGACAGGGACCAGCACCACTGCCTGCGGTAACTCTGCCCCACTGGGCAGGAGATCCTGGACAGCTGGGTTCCTTGGGGGTCTGACCTTGAGGATCTGCCCTCCATCCGGGTACTTCTGCAGGATGCTGTGCAGGTAGTCAAGGAAGATGGGTGCCCGCTGGCAGAAGGTGTCCCTGTAAAGCACAGAAAGGGAGAGAAGGTGTAGGGGAGGCTCTGTAACCAGGACCATGTCCTCCTTGGATCCCACAGGATGTGCCTCTCCTTGGAAAGGGTCAAGGACCCCATCTCCTTCCAGGACCCACTGAAACAGCGATCTCCAAGGACAACAACCACACTTTCCCAAACCCCCATCTCTTCCTTGGATGCTCCAGTGCCCTGGTTTTGGCTAGGATAGAGTTAATTTTCTTCCCAGAAGCATGTCCAGAGCTGTGTTCAGGATTTAGCAAGAGAGCAGTGTTGGTTGCACACTGATGTTTGAGTTGGAGCCCAGTCAAGGACTTTTCAGTGTCCTGTGCTCTGTCAGCGAGGGGGGAGCAGGGCCAGGAGACCTGACCCCAACTGGCCAGGGGGATATTCTGGACCTCCTGCCCAGTACAGAAACTGGAAGGGGGTTGGCCAGGAGCCACTGATCAGTGCTGAAGGTGGGTTATGAGCAACAACTAGACATTGCTGATTTCACTTGGGTTTTATTCTGTTCTCTCTCCTTTTCATCACTGTTGGCAGCAGCAGTAATATCAATATATTTAGCTTTGTTTCAATTATTAAACTGTTCTTGTGTCAGTCCAGAGGTTTTACCTTTTCTTTTTTATTCTTCCCCACTGGGAACAGTGAGTGGCTTTGTGGGATGAGCTGCAGGCAGGGGTTAAACTGTCCTGAGGATTTGGGTAACCACAGAGGGAAGGGAGGAGAAAGGAAGGGAGAAAGGAGAAAGGAGAGAGGAGAGAGGAGAGAGGAGAGAGGAGAGAGGAGAGAGGAGAGAGGAGAAAGGAGAAAGGAGAAAGGAGAAAGGAGAAAGGAGAAAGGAGAAAGGAGAAAGGAGAAAGAAAGGCAAGGCAAGACCACGCTGGAAGGTTTGTCTCATGGCTTGGCTCTCGCAGAAAAGCCTAAAGCTGTAATTCTTTACAGATCCCACTGGATGGCTCCCGGAATCCAGCGGGGACGGCAATGCTGAGCACAGCCGGCAGATTGGATTCAGCTCCAGCCGTTCTCTCGTACCACAGCCCGGTGTTACCAACCCCGACAGAATGGTAACCTTAGCCCAGAGCCAGGGCGGATTAACATTCCCACGGGAACGCACACACCAGGAAGGGGTTTATAAAATGCACCTGTGAGCGCATGGGCAGGAACTCCAAGAGCAAACTGTGACCCACAGCTATGAAATAAATACAAAAGATGCTTACAACAACATTGTTTTAACACACCCTGCTCAGATGTGTTGTTATCTCAACTCCTTGTGCCCCAGCTGAGCACCAGTAGGGACCGTCCTGGTTTAACCCCAGCCCTCAGTCCCACGCAGCAGCTCGCTGCTCTGGTGGGATGGGGGAGAATTAGGGAAAGGTAAAGCCCACAGGCTGACACAAGAACAGTTAATAATTGAAACACAACTAAATATATTTATATTGTTGCTACTACTTCTACATTGACCAGTGAAAAGGAGAGAGAACG